TGTCTTCTTTGAGTGTTGGATATATGCCATTCCATTGTCTTCTTGCTCGCATGGTTTTCTGCTGAGAAATCAGCACTTAATCTTATCTGTTCTCCCTTTTAGGTCTCTCTCTCTCTCTCTCCCTCTCGTTTTTAGTATTCTCACCTTATCTTTGTTTTGCAAATATGACAATGATATGCCTTGGTATTTTTCTTTCATGGTCTATTCTATATGGTGTTCGCTCAGCTTCTTGTATATATATTTTGTCATTCATTATGCCTGGAATGTTTTCCTCTACACAACTTTTTCAGTGCCTTTAATTGCTTCTTCCTGTTCTGGGATTTCAATGATGCAAATGTTATTTCTTTTAATGGTATTCCATATTATTCTTAAGTTTTCTTCTGTTTCCTTCTTTTTTGATTCTGCTTTTTTCTCGGTCAGATCTGTGGTGACAATTCTATCTTCTTTATTACTGATTCTGTTTTCCATCTCTATCATGTGTCCATCCATCATGCTGACAGCATCAGAAACCTTAGATTTCATATTTTTTTTATCATGGTTTCTTGTTTTTCTAGTGCCTCTAATGCCTCATTTGTTTTCTCTTCATTGTTTTCGACTGGTTTTTTTTAAGCTCCTCCTGATTTTTTACTGTAGTGTCCTGTAATTAAAGTTTGTTTTTCATCCATTGAAAATATTTAATCTTTTTTTTTTTTTTAATTCTGGCTTCACGAAATTCATTGCTACTATGTCTTTTTTTTTTAAGATATCTTGTTTTGGGCTTGTGTGTTGAGTGAGGTACCCTGCTTCTTTTGAGACATTGATGTGGAAGAGTTTTTGAAAACTGAGGTGATAGCTGGTTCTTGGTTTGACGTCACTGCTCCTCTGTTGAGATGCCGAAGACCTCCCTGTTGCTTGAGTTAGTGGGACTAATGTGGTCAGGCCAGACAGCAGTTTGCAGTCCAAAGAAACTTAATCTTCAGTGTTAGACAACTTTTTCAGGGAAGGTTGATAAATCCTATAATTTGGTCTATGTTTGGTCTTGGGCCCCAAAATTCAAAGCTGGGGGGGGTGGTGCACAAGCTTCCAGGGGGGTGTAGACTTGGTACCTGCCATGCACATGTCAAGGGTCCAGAGGTGTGTCCCATGTCCAAAACCACTCCCTCTCTTTAATGCATCTGCAAGGTCCTCATGCCAACTCAAAAATTCAAAGCTGGCGGGGGGGCCAATACCAACAATTTTAAATACAAGATCCAAGACTCCAAGCAAGTATTAATCACAAAGACCTGTAATTGATGAAAACAAGAGGCTCCAGTCCACAACCTACTGTTAATTAAATTTAAAAACCTACATCTGGGTTCACAACTGCTTTTAATGAGAATCTCCCTGATTCCAAGCAACTGTTAATCACAAAACCCACCTGCTGGGTTCTAATTGTCTTAAAAAGTCTTCCACCTCACAACCAATCGTTAATAAAATAAAAATGGCCTAACTTCTGGATCCAAACTTCATTAAATAAGAGGCTTCTAGGCCCCAAGCAACGGTTAATTATGACAGCTCACCCACTGGATCCTAACTGGTTTAAACAGGAAGCCCCTAGCACACAATCAATTGTTAGTAAAATAAAAATTGCCTACTTTCTGGACTCCACCTGCTTTAAATACGAGACTCACAGGCCCAAAGCAAGTGTAAATCTGTAACTTACAAAGGCTAATGCAACAAGTTCTACCTGGATTAAACAAGGGGCTTCCACACACAAGCACTGTTTCTGAAATTTTAAAAAAAACAACAAGACACCCCACAACACAAAAAGAAAGCAAGCAAACAAATAAACCCCAACACTACCTACAGGATCACAAATAATTTAAATAAAAGGCTCCCAGGCCCTAAGCAAATATAAATCACAAAGGTCTATGTGATGGGTCTTAATTGTTTTAAACAAGAGTCTCCCAGCCCACAATCCACTATTAATAAAACAAAACAAAACAAATACACCCTACCTTCTTGATCTGAATTCCTTTAAGAGTCTCCCAGGCCCCAAGCAACTGTTTATCACAAAGGCCCACCCGCTGGATCTTAGTTGGTTTAAACAAAGGGCCTCTATCTCACAAGCAAATGTTAATCACATCAAAATAACCTACATTCCAGACCCCATCTGCTTTAAATAAGATATTTTCAGGCCCCAAACAACTGTAAATCAAAAAGGATCATCCAACAGACACTAATTGGTTTAAACAAGAAGCTCCCAGCCAATAATCCATTGTTAATAAAATAAAGTAAAAACAAAACTATCTTCCTCATTCCAACTTTTAAATAAGAGGCTCCCAGGCTCTAAGCCACTGTTAATTACCAAGGTCCACTTACTGAGATCCAAAGAGAATCTCAGTCCACAACTAAGTGTTAATCACATAAAAATGGCCTAACGTGTAGATCAAAACAGCTTTAAAGAAAAGATTCCTAAGCCCCCAAAAATTGTTATTCTCACAGACCCAATTAGTGGATCTAACTGGTTTAAAGAAGATTTATGTGCACAGCCAACTGTTAAGCAACCTATCTTCCTAATCCTAACTGTTTTTAATAAGAAGCTCTCAATCTCCAAACAACTGTTAATTTCACAGGCCCACCCACCAGGTCTTAATGGTTTAAACAACAATCTTCCAGCCCACATCCAACTTTTAATAAAAATTTTAAAGACTCCTAACATCTTGATCCCAAGAGCTTTAAATAAAAAGCTCCCAGGCCCCAAGCAACTATTAATCACAAAGGCTCACTAATTGTGTCCTAATGGGTTTAAACAAGAGGATCCCAGCTCACAACCAACCATTAATCAACTAAAAAAACCCATAAAACCACACAAAATCTACCTTTTGGATCAAACTATTTTAAATAAAAACCTCCCAAGGGTCAAGTAACAGTTAATCTTAAATGCCCACCCACCAGATGCTCTGAGCCTCTGAATGTCTAAGCTTTATTATTCATATGTCTTCTTTAGCCACTGATTAACTGTTGATTTTGTGCTGAAGTAAACATTGTATTAAGGAGAGAGAATTAGAATGGGATACAAGCTCCACCCTACTAGAGGGTTATATAATAAGGGCCTCAGTACCAGGAACTTTTTCCCCTTTGGAAAAGCTCACTCACTTGGGGAATAGCTTCCAGCCACTCACCAGTCTCTACAACATCCCTTTTCCTCACACACAGTCACCATCTAGCTGTATCATTAAGTGATAGTCTACAGGATCCTCACCCATTGCTCACTAGATTCTCCAAACCAGCTTGCATATCTATAATCATGTGAGTTATTTCTCTGATGAGTTTGAGTCTTTGGGAGACCATTTAGTGAATCTGAACCCAAGGAACATAGAGTAATTGGAGAACGAGGCCAAAAAAGGAGCTGTTCATGTTAGAGAGTATGAACACATATAACTGGGTAAGCATTTGGGACCACATTGACCTAAGACTTCTGATAGTCTGCTATTAATCTTAGCAGGACAAATTACAAAAACAGAGCTCAGAACAAACTGTTAAATAAAAATACCTACTTTCTGGATCCCAACTGCTTTAAATAAGAGGTTCCCAGGCCCCAAACAACTGTTAATCTCACAGGCCAACCCACCAGGTCCTAACTGGTTTAACAAGGGGCTCCCAGCCCACAATCAACCAATCAACTATTGATCAAATCAAAAGACCAACTTTCTAGATACCAACTGCTTTCAATAAGAGGTTTCCAGGATACAAGCAACTATTAATCACAAAGTCTCACCCACCACATCCTATTGGTTTAATCAAGAGAATCTCAGCATACCACTGAATGTTAAATAAAAAAAAAAAAATCTAACTTTCAAGTCCCAGCCACTTTAAATAAGAGGCTCCAAGCAATTGTCAATTACAAAGACCAACACACAAGATCTTAACTGGATTTAAAAAGAGGCTCTTACCCATAAGCAACTGTTAATCAAATGGAAAATATCTACCTTCTCAATTTTAAATACTTTAAATACAAGGTTCCCAGACCCCAAGCAAATGTTAATCACAAAGGCCCACCCAATGAGTTCTAAGTGGCTTAAACAAGAGACTTCCAAACCACAATCAACTGCTAATCAAATAAAAAAGACCTACCTTCTGGATCTCAAATGCTTTAAATAACAAGTTCCTAGTATCCAAGCACCTGTTAATACCAAAGGCCCACCCATTGGGTCCTAATTGGTTTAAACAAGAGGTCCCCAGCCCAGAAACAACTGTTATTCAAATAAATAAAGACCTATCTTTTAGATCCCAAAGACTTTAAATAAAAGGCTTGTCTCAAACAACTGTTAATCACAAAGACCCTGAGTACTTTTACTGAATACAATTACTGAGTAATTGGTTAAAAGGGATCTACCTTCTGAATCTTAACTACTTTTAATAAGAAGTTTTCCAGCCCCAACCTACTGTTAATCTCAAATGCCAACCCACTGAGTCCTAATTGATTTACACAAAGAGCTCACAGTCCATAACTATTAATCAGATTAAAAAGACCTAACTTTTCAATCCCCAAAGCTATAAATAATAGGCTCTAATGTCCCAAGAAACTCTTATTCACAAAAGTCCACTTATTGGATCCTAATTGACTTAAACAAGAGCCTCCACACCCACAACCAGGATGTAAGCCAGTGTGCAAAAAAACCTACCTACCTTCCAGATCCTATAAATAAGAGGGGCCTCAAGTCTCAAGCAACTGTTAATAGCAACAGCTCATCCACCAGTTCGTAATTGATTTAAACAGGAGTCTCCAGAAACAAAACTGACTGTTATTAAAATAAAAAAGATCAACGTGTCATATCCCAACTAATTTAAATAAGGGGCTTCCAGGCCCCAAGAAACTGTTAATCACAAAGGCTCACCCACTGGACCCTAATTCCTTTAAACAAGAGGCTCTCAGCTGATAACCAACTGTTAATCAAATTAAAAAGACCTATCTTCCAGATAACAACTATTTTTTTAAAGAATTCATGAGTTTTTATTGAACGAGTTACAAAAGGAGTTTAGTCAAAAAGACTATGTCCCATGTCATCATCAGACTCTTCAAAATCTTCTTTCTTTGCTTCCACTTGCTTCTCAGCTGGAGCAGCAGCAGTGGAGGGGGCAGGTCCTCCAGCCAGTGTGGTCCTGGCAGCTGGGGCAGGTCCACCAGCATTCACATTGCAGATGAGGCTCCCAATGTTGACATATGCCAGGGCCTTTGTAAACAGGCCAGTCCAGAAAGGTTCAACGTTGACACCAGCTGCCTTAATGAGGGTATTGATTTTATTCTCCATGATGGTCACCTCATCGTCGTGCAGGATGAGGGCCGAGTAGATGCAGGCAAGCTCAGAGATAGAGGCCATGGTGTGGTGGTACTAGGTTGAAGGCTGCCAGACGTGGTGCTAGTCACTGGATGAAGTGAGGGACTCACCCCAACGCGGCCTTAGCTTCCTCGGAAGGACCAAGCACCTTATCAACAACTAAGGAAAGGGGTGATCACAACTATTTTAAATAAAATGTTCAGATTCCCAAAGCAATTGTTAATCACAAAGCCCCAACCACTTACCTTCTGTATCCCAAATGCTTCAAATAAGAGGCTCCTAAGCCCCAAGAAACTTAATCACACAGATCCATCCACCCAGTTCTAATTTGTTTAAACAAGAAACTCCCAGCCCACAACCAACTGCTAATCAAATAAAAAAGACCCTACCTCCAGATACTAACTGCTTTAAATAAGAGGCTTCCAGCCCTCAAGTAACTGAGGCCCACCCACCAGCCCCTATTAGCTTTAAGTAAGAGGCTCCTAGCCCTACACCTACTGTTTTTCAAATGAAAAAAAGACCTAAATTCCAGATCTGAACTGCTTTAAATAATAGCTTCCAGGCATCAAGCAACTGTTAATCACAAAGACTTGTCCACCAGATCCAAATTAGTTTAAATAAGAGGCTCCCAGTCCACAATGAACTACTAATCAAATAAAAAAGACCTACCTTCTGGATCCCAACTGCTTTAAATAAGAGGATCACAGCCAACAAGCTGGGATCTCAAATGCACATCCACTGTGTCCTAAGCAGGCAGTCCACAACCAACTGTTAATCAAATTTAAAAAAGAAAAAAAATCTATTTTCAAATCCTAAATGCTTCAAACAAAAGGATAAAAGCCCCAAGTGACTCTTAATCAAGTAAAAAAGATTTACCTTCCAGATCCCAAATACTTTAAATAATAGTCTCCCAGGCCCCAAGCAACTGTTTATCTCGAAGGCCCATCCCTTGAGTCCTAAATGTTATAAAAAAGAGGCTCCCAGCTCATAATCAACTGTTAATCAAATAAAAAAGACCTTCTTTGCAGATCCAAACTGCATTAAAGCATAAGCTCCCAAACCTTAAGTAGTTATGAAGTACATAGGCCCATGCACTGTGTCCTAATTAGTTTGACAAGATTCTTCCAACCCTAAACCAACTATTAGTAAAATAAAAGAGACCTTCCTTCTAGATCCCAACTGTATTAAATATAATGGTCCCAGGCCTCAAGCAACTGTTAATCACAAAGGCCTTCATACCAGGTCCTAACTGGTTTAAACAAGAGACTCCTTGCACACAACCAACTGTTAATTAAATCTAGAAGACATACCTCTGGATCCCAACTGCTTTACATAAGAATTAGCCAGTATCTAAGTAATTGTTAATATCAAAAGCCCACCCACTGAATCCTAATTGGTTTAAACCAGAGGCTCTCAGCCTACAACCGTCAAGCAAATGAAAAAAACAGCCTACCTTAAACATCCCAACAGGTTTGAAAAAGAGTCTGCAAGCCCCAAGTAACTGTTATGAGGAACACAGACCCTGAGCAAGTGTTAATCACAAAGGCCACCTAGCCCACAACTAACTGTTAATAAAATAAAAAAGACTTACTTTCTGGATCAACTGCTTTAAACAAGAGGCTCAGAGGCCCCAAACAACTTTCAAGTACAGAAGTTTAACAACTGGGTCCTAACTGGTTTAAATAAGAGGCTTCCAGCCCACATCAAATTGTTAATCAAATAAGGATCTACCTTCTAGATCCCAACAGTTTTAAATAAGAGGCTCCTAGGATCTAACTGTTAATCTCAAAGGCCCACTCATTGAGTCTTAATTGGTTTAACAAGAGTTTCCCAGCTTACAACAAACTGTTAATAAACTTAAAGACTTATCTTCCAGATGCCAACTATTTTAAATAAGAGGATCCCAGACCCCAAGTAAAGTTAATCACAAAGGCCCACCAACTGGATCATAATTGGTTTTAACAAGAGGTTGTAAGCCCACCAAAAACAACCCTTGTTCATCAAGTAAAAAAAGACTTACTTTCTGAATCTCAACTGGATCAAATAATTAGCTCCCAGGCCAAAACCCCCCTGTTAAGCCTAAAAGCCTATCCACCAGGTCCCAATTTTCTGAAATAAGAGGCTCTCAGCTTACAACCATTGGTAATGATTGGTTTAAGAAAGAATCTCCCAGTCTACAAGTGATGGTTAATCAAATAAAAAAGACCTACACTACAGATACCAACTGCTTCAAATAAAAGTATCACTTTCCCCAAGCAACTCTTAATTGCAAAGGCCCACCTGCAGGTCCTAATTGGTTTATTGAGGAGGGTCCCAGCCACAACTGAAGTTTAATAAAATAAAAAGACCCACATTTTAGATCCTAAGCTCTGAGCAACTGTGAACAAGAAAGGTTCAACCACCCAGTCCTAACTGGGTTAAACAAGAGGTTCCTTCCCCACAACTATCTTTTAATCAAATAAAAAATACCAGATAACTCAATTACAAAATGGGCAAAAGACATGGAAAGAATCTTCACAGAGGAAGATATTGAATGGCCAACAGACAAATGAAGAAATGCTCAATATCATTGGCAATAAGAGAGATGTTTGCATCAAATCAAAACCACAATGAGATATCATCTCACCCCAGTAGTAGTGGCAAAGCGTAACAGGACAGCAAGTAATAAATGTTAGAGAGGATGTGAAGCCATAGGAAATCATATATTGTGGTGGGATTGTAAAATGCTACAGCCACTCTGGAAGGCAATTTGGTGTTTCCTAAAAAGCTGAAGATAGAAATTCAATACGACCCATGTATTCCACTGCTTAGAATATACCCTGAAGTCACACGCCTGCAGCTCTGACCCACGA